GTGTGACGCACGTGGTGCTGTACTGAACCTGAGAGAAAGTAGACAGGTAGCCACTTGAAGCCATTTCTGTCCCACCCTGCAAAAGTCACTTGGGACAAGCCCCAAGGCCAGTAAAACTAATATTTCCCAGCATGGGAGGAAGCTAAAACTGCTTTTAGTTACAGTCCCTAAGGAAACTTCCCTCAAATGGGAAAGAAGTCAGAAAGTGAGCAATAAGGGAATATGAGGAAACAAGACTCAAATTATGAAATATCTCTAGTGAAAGAAAACTGAGGAAAAGACCTTGAACATAAGCAGATAAATCTACAGAGAAGGTATTAATAACAGAAGAGAGTATGGACTTCAGATCAGCTAAGAGAGTCCATACATCTATGAATTAAAATATTTATATTAAATTTCTGAGAAAAAGGTCTTGTATGCAAGATATGTAAATAATTAGCACACACATACACATACATGCATATGCACACACATATACACACACAACTAAAAGCCATTCCTTAATAGATAAATAAGAATTGTAAACTCTTAATACCATTTGAAAGAATGCTCCACATCACTAATAATAATAGAAAAAGAAACAATCCTAAGGTTAAACCTCATACCCAGCCAGCCATCTTTGGAAAATATGTTAAAATATAGAAATAATCAATGTTAGAGGGGTTATAGAAAGATAGACATGCTGATGTATCATCGGTGGAGCTGTGAATGGTACAATCATTTTGGTTTTGAAGTTTTTTTATTTATATTTTCAGTTTCAAATTCTCTCCCTCCCTTCATCCCCTTTTCCACTCATTAAGATAGTAAAAAATATGATATGTATATGAAATCATGCAACACATATTTCTGCATGAGTCATGTAAAAAAAAAAGCAAGAAAAATAAAGGAAATATGCCTTAATCTACATTGTGTGTCCATCAGTTCTCTATCTAGAGATGGATAGCAATTTGCATGAGTCCTTCGGAGTTTTGGTGAATCATTGAATTGATTAGAATTACTAAGGCTTTTACAGCTGTTTATGTTTACAATATTGCTATCACTGTGTACATTGCTTGCTTCACTTTGTATTGTCTAAGTCTTCCCAGATTTTTTTAAAGACCCCCTCCCAAAAAAGAAAAAAAAAATTAACAAAAGTGATCAAATAGAAAAACTTATCCATATGTCTTCAAAGGTTTTTTCTGACACCATCCCCTTCATCATTTCTTATAGCACAACAGTATTCCATCATATTCACATACCATAACTTGTTTAGTCATTCCCTAATCTTTGCCAACACAAAAAGAAATACTATGAATATTTTTGTATTATGAGTCCTTTTCTTTAATCTCTTTGGGGTGTTTACCTAATAGCAGTTTTGGTGGTTCAAAGGTACAGTTTTATAGCCCTTTGTGCATAGGTTCCAAATTGTTCTCCAGAATGGTTGCACTAGTTCACAGCTCCGACAACAATGCATTAGTGCACCTATTCCATATCCTTTCCAGCATTTGTCATTTTTCTTTCCTATCATCTCAGCCAATCTGATGGGTGTTAGATGGTACTTCAGAGTTGTTTTAATTTGCATTTTTCTAATTATTAGTAATTTAGAGCATTTTTTCATATGATTGATAGCTTTGACTTCTTACTCTGAAAACTACCTATACATATCATTTGACTCTTTGTTAATTGGAAAATGGCTCTTATTTTTATCATTTGGCTCAGTTCTCTCTCTATGTTTTTTAATATTTTGTTATATTATCTAATTTGTAATAACATTTTATTTTCCCCCAGTTATATGTAAAGACAATTTTAACATTGATTTTTTTTTTTTGGTGAGGCAATGGGGTTAAGTGACTTGCCCAGGGTCACACAGCTAACAAGTGTCCAGTGTCTGAGGCCGGATTTGAACTCAGGTCTTCCTAACTTCAGGGCCAGTCCTCTATCCACTGTGCCACCTAGCTGCCCCTAACATTGATTTTTAAAAAAAAAAAATTGGGGTTCCAAATTTTCTCTCTCTCCTTCACCTCTCCCTTCCTGAAATGGCAAGCAATTGAACATAGGTTATGCATGTTCAATCATGCAAAACATATTACTATATTAGTCATGTTGTGAAAGAAGACACAGACTCAGAGGGAAAAAAAACCAGAAAGTAAAAAATAGCATACCTTAATCTGCATTCAAACTCCATCAGTTCTTTCTCTAGAGGTAGATAGCATTTTTCATCATGAGTCCTCTGGAATTGTCTTGGGTTATCCTATTGCTGAAAATAGCTAATTCATTCACAATTAATCATCATATTTTATTGCTGTTACTGGGTACGATGTTCTCCTGATACTGCTCAATTCACTTTGCATCAGTTCATATACTCTTTCCAGGTTTTTCTGAAATCAGCCTACTCATCATTTTTATAGCACAGAAATATTTCATTATAGTCACATACCACAACTTGTTCCAGCCATTCCCCAATTGATAGGCATCAGTTCTCTATATATTTGAGACATAAGACCTTTATCAGAGAAACTTGCTGTAAATTTTTTCCCCAAGATTTCTACTTTTCTTCTAATTTTTGGCTACAGTGATTTTGTTTGTGTGAAAACTTTTTTAATTTCATGTATTCAAAATTATCCATTTTACCTCTTGTGAATCTATCTCTTGTTTGGATAAGAACTCTTCCTTTATGCATAGATGTTATAGGTAATTTCTTCCATGCTCCCTTAATTTGCTTATGATATCATGCCTTATGTCTAAATCATGTATCCATTTTGAGCTTATCTTGGTATATGGTGTGAGATGTTGGTCTATGACCAATTTTCTACCAAACTACTTTTCAGTTTTCCAAATAGTTTTTTTAATAGCAAATTTTTGCCCCAGTAGCTTAGATCTTTGGCTTTATCAAACATTAGATTACTGTGTTCATTTGCCTCTATAAGTTGTGTATCTAATGCAGTCCATTGATTAACCATTCTGTTTCTTATCCAATACCATACTGTCTTGATGATAACTGCTTTGAAGGATAGCTTGAGATCCGGTACTGCTAGGTTGCCTTCCTTTGCCCTTTTTTTTTTCACGATTGTCTTGACATTCTTGACTTTTATTCCTCCAAAATTTTGTTATTTTTTCTAACTCTACAAAGTAATTCCTTGGTAGTTTGATTAGTGTGGCACTGAATAAGAAAATTAATTTAGTTAGTACTGTCATGTTTATTATATTGGCTCAACCTATTCATGAGCAATTAATATTTCTCCATTTATTTAGATCTGTCTTTCTTTATGTAAAAAGTGTTTTGTAAGTATGTTCATACAGTTCCTGTGTATGTCTTAACAGGTAGATTTCCAAGTATTTTATTCTGTCTGTGGTTACTTTAAGTGGAATTTCTCTTTCTATCCCTCACTGCTGGGTTTTGTTCATAATGTATAGAAATGCCAATGATTTATGTGTGTTTATTTTACATCCTTCAACTATGCTAAAGATGTTAGCTGTTTCAGCTAGTTCATTACTTAACTTTCTAGGGTTCTCTAAGTATACCATCATGTTATCTACAAAAAGTGATAGTTTTGTTTTTTCATTGCCTATGCTTATTCCTTTCATTTCTTTTTCTTGTGTTACTGCTATAGCTAGCATTTCTAGTATGATATTGAATAATAGTACGAACATTTTAGAAATTGTCTAACTTGTAATTATCCAAATAACATGGCTAAGATGTCTGTACCCTTTAACCTAGAGATTCTCTACTAGGCGTCTACCCCAAGGAGGCCACTGATAAGAAGAAACTTTCTATATACACCAACATCTTTATTTCAGCACTTTTTGTGATAGCAAAGAATTAGAAACAAAATAGATGTCTGTCAACTGGGAAAAGACTAAACAAACTGTCAGACATGAACATTTGTTGTTGTTCAGTTGTTGCAGTCACGTCTGACTCTTCATGACCCCATTTGGGGTTTTCTTGGCAAAAAAAAAAAACTGGAGTAGTTTGCCATTTCTTTCTCTAGTTAATTTTATAAATGAGGAAACTGAGAGAAATGGGAGGCTAAGTAACTTATCTGGGGTCACACAGCTAATAGGTAGTTAAGTCCAGATTTGAACTCAGGTCTTCCTGACTCCAGGTATAGACTTCCATCTAGCTACCCTGCATGTGAATATGGTCAACAGTGAGTCAATAAACATTTATTAAGTACCTACTATGTGTCAGGCACTCTGCTAAGGACTAGGGTTGCAAAAAGATATGATGGCATATCATGGCACTATAAGAAATAACAAATATGGTGAATACTGAGAAGCATGGCAAGATCTATATGAACTGTTGCAGAATGAAGGAAGCAGATACAGGAAAACAATAAATACACTGAATACAACAACATAAACAGAAAGGAGTACTAAAAAATCACAAGAAAATGTTGCAGAAATAAAAAGTACAAACATGGCTACAAAAAAGAGAGATGAGAAGATATTCCCATTCTCTCCCTTTGCAGAAGTGGGAAGTCCATGAGTATGGTCCATTACATATATTTTCACATTTTTTGTTGTATTGATTAGTTTTGCTAATTTTTTTTCTTTTTCCTTGGGGGTCTTTGAAAACTAATATTATCTTGTAGGGTGAATCTCTTGGAAGAGGAAGTAAGCTAGGGGAAATTATGGTAATGTAAAAAAAAGATATCAATAAAAACATTTTAAAAACTTAAATGTAACAGAATTACAAAGAACAAGCATAACTCCAAGGAATATACATGAGAAGGTATTTCCCCTCCCCCTTTGCAGACTTGCAAATATTTTTAGATTTTTTTCAATCTATTGATCAATTTTTTTCCCCCTTTTCTTTTTTCTTTTGCTTTAAAATACTATTTGTTATATGGGGTGATTTGTTATATGGGGAGAAGTCAAGGGAGTCTTGGAGAAATTTAGGTAATATAAAAGCAAAAAGTATTTTTTAATTAATACAAAAATTCCTACATGAAAAATATAGAAAAAGAAAACAGCCTAATAAAGCTATGATTTTCATTGAAATCAACTTTTTGCTTTCCTTTGGGATGTATATTAGATGATGAAGCTATTATAGATAACTTTAAAAAATCCAAACTGACATCCACCGAAGTTTCAGAACGCATCAAGGCAGCAGAAAAAACTGAAAGTGAATTTCAGATGACCCGTAAAAACTATCTTCCCATTGCAACACGAGGTGCCTTGTTATATTTTTTAGTAGCAGATCTGGCACAGATCAACTATATGTACCAATTTTCTCTGGACTGGTTCCGGGAGACGTTTGTGATGTCTGTAACCTACAAATCTGATGATGTTGAAGAAACATCTCAGTTTGCTTCAGTTTTAAGAAAAGTGCAAGTATTTGAGAAAATGCGGAAGTACCAAGACAATAAGCCTGACCCTCTGAAGGACAGAGATGGCTTTAATAATTATATTGCAGATTTAGTCGAGGTATTAACGGAAAGCATTTATAAGGTAAGACTCTGTGTGTATGTGTCTGTGTGTGTATGTGTGTGTGTGTCTGTGTCTATGTCTATGTCTGTGTCTGTGTCTGTGAATTTCCAAATGCCTTTTATTGGCTCTGTTGGTCCTGCAGTCACCTTTTTCCACCAGGTCGTTGCCTCAGCACTGTTTAATGAAAACAAACTTTGCTTCTCCTTCCGGCTTTGCACCTTAATCTTGCAAAATAATTGTGATGGATCTCAAATCCTAAATAGTACAGAATGTTTGCCCGAGGAAGAATGGAACATCTTCTTGTACTCTAGCCTACTGATAAATATTGAGGAGAAATTACCCCAGATTAAAAATGGAGGTAAGTAAAAGACGATGACCTTACTAAAAGCCTTTGTAATGTTGTAAAGGAGGGATCTGAATCAGTCCCACGAAAGAGGAGTTCGTAATCATTGACCTTTACACTCCCTTGAAGAACTGTGACTATAGCACTAAGCTTGGACTGTAAACTTCCTCTGGGCAAGACTAGACAAAGTCTGATTCATCTTTGTATTCTCCATGGCACCTAGTTCAGTGCGTTGTGCACAATTAGGGAGTGGGCGAACAATTTTAAATGAACAAATTTCAAATGACTACTATAATTAAGGTTATTTCGGTTAGAATCCTAAAACGCAAGCCATAATACCTACCTCTGGTAAGAAGAGGTAGAGAGTACTGGACTGTAGACCATCAGAAGACAAACCTATCTATCCTTGATGACTTTTCTTCCTCTTTCTTTTGAAAAAAAAAATCCTTTTAAAAATATCTAAACTGGGAACAGCTAGGTGGCACAGTAGATAGCGCACCAGCCCTAGATTCAGAAGGACTTGAGTTCAAATCCATAATACTTAACACTTAACACTCACTAGCTGTCTGACCCTGGGCAAGTCACTTAACCCCATTGCTTAGTCAAAAAAAAAAAATCTAAACTGAAAAAAGACGGAATAAAGACTTTATTCTTATCAAAAAGATATTCTCACATTTAGTGTATTTTAATAAGAGATAGGATTGAAATATCACGTGAAATTATTTAACTAGTCTGGAATATATGTCTATATTACATTTTAGTCACATTTTTAAAATGAATGCTACAAGAACCCCAACATTCTTACAAAAGGTTCTGGGAGCGGAGAGGTCATTATTTTATGAGCAACATTTTGCCAAGAACGTATTACATTTGACAGACAAAAACTAAAAATTCAGCCAACCATTTTGGCTATGTAATGCCAAATAGCCTGACAGTTGGAAATATTCACATGATTGATTTAGTTGATTCAGTTGGCCTACAGGTGTTTGACATCATAATATCATATTTGTAGTCTTAGTGCTAGGATCTCATGACTTCTGACAAGAGAACGGGGTGGGGGAGAGCAGGGAGCCCTGAAGGTGTTGTCAAGGATGCAGCTGCTGTTCCTGACCTTATGACACAGATTCATCACTGTCCAAACTCTTCTGTGCTCCCGTAGACCTATCCAGGACCAGCAAGTCATAGCATGACCTAGTACATGAGAATTCTGCAAGGACATGTGCAGCACACGTGTGCACAAACCCAAGCACCCAGGGCGTCACACGCAAAACAGATCTCCAAAGTTCCACCACAAAGACGCGTCAGCTCTTGTCTTTCTTCAGGAATAGTGACTGCACAGCCACAGCACATCACACATCCTGGAAAACACTAGCCAAGAAGTCTTGCTTCTCCCTATTTTTATGTGCTGACTACATGCAAACCCGATATAGGAGGAAGGAGGGAAGAAGGCTGTCTCCTTGTCAGCATAGTTTAATTGCCTTAGCTTCTTTATTGTGCTAAACATAGAATAAAAAATAACTACAAATGGATATTGCTTTTCTGCCATACATTCCCCAAAACTCAGTTGGAAAGCAGAACCCTAGAAAAACAACCACCACCATATTCTTTTCCTAGGTACAGTGTCAGTAAAGATTTTTTCTGATTTGGCTTTACTACCACCGTTTGCTTAAAACGGCAGGTCACATGACTGACCAGAGCTTGCAGAATTTATCTAAGACTTCAAACTTTAGCTCAGGTGATGAACTACTTAGTGAGAAGAGAATTTCTGGCGCTGCTTTATTATCTCTATTTACCTAAGATGAGCACATCAAGGACATAACTACAGCTCCAGTATTAATGGTTAGTCTACAAATTCTAGCTATATCCCCAGTGTTTGCTGTTGTCATTCAATTATGTCTGACTCTTCATGACCTCATGGACCATACTGTCCAGGAGAGTTTCTTGGCAAAGATAGTGGAGCGGTTTATCATTTTCTTCTCCAGTGGGTTAAATGACTTACCCAGACTCATACAGCTAGTAAATGTCTGAGGCTGGGTTTGAACACAGGTCTTCCTGACTCTAGCCCCAGTGCTCTATTCTCTGAGCCACCTAACTACTCCCAGAGTTGACTTACCAGTTGTAACTTAATGCACATGTTCCATTCTTCTATCTGTTCTTTGACATGAAAATCTTTACCTTCCCCTTCTGCCTTCTATAAAATTCCTTTGCACCCATCCTGCCTATGTAACCAAAACCTATATAATGTAGCTTAAAACTTCTTGTCAGGGTCCACTGTTCTTTGCATACTGTGGGTCTATTTTCTGGGCATAATAAACCAGTTTTTAAAGCGTTTCAGTGTGTTACTAGTTTTCGATTGGCAGCAGTACCTGTGAATGCATCCTTGAAGAGCTTCTCTAAAAATGGAAAGCCTATGATTCTTAACCACCTCAGTCCCTTTTTAACCACTCTACAACTATTAGTCTGAAGTGGCAAAGAGACTTTATGAGACTGAAAGCCATTCCTTTATTTTGTCTTTGATTGATATCTTGCTATGGCCAAAGAATTGATTGCCTGGAGGTCAAATTGGTAATGACCCTCTTCATTCTTAGGTTGGCATTCAGAGAGCAGAGAATCTGTTTCTGGGACCAGAGACGTGCCGGAGCTGGCTCTTACCAGCTATTAGAACGGATTGTTAAATTTTCAGTCTGAGCATTTATACCTCAGAAATTGGCAAACACTACAAATCAGGACTTGATTCATTCTTTGTTTGATTTCTAGACTTATGGAATTGACAGACAAAATGTTAATGATGCCGTGTGTACATTTTTCCCCAGTAAGGCTAGTTATTAAACATGTACTCATGTACCCATGCCTGGGACCCATATTCAAACTTTTCCAGCATAGTAGACCTAGAGCTTACATTGGAAAAGCAGGCCAGTTGATTGACATGAGTAAAGGATAAGAGATTTTAGTATTCAATTGATACCCTTTAAAATGCAGGGGGGAAAAAACCTAGAGGAAAGAGACCTAATCTAGAATGTTGTTGAGTGGATTGTATAATAATATAATAATAGCTAACATTTGTATAGGGCAGTGAGGTGGCAAAGTCTATAGAGTACTGGGCCTGGAGTCAGGAAGATCTGAGTTCAAATCTGGCCTCAAGACACTTACTAGCTGTGTGAACCTGGGCAAGTCACTTAACCTTATTCACCTAAGTTTCCTCACTTGTAAAATGAGCTGGAGAAGGAAATGGCAAACCACTCCAGTATCTCTGCCAAGAAAGCCACAAACAGGGCCATGAAGAGTCAGACACAACTGAACATCAACAACAAAAAAAAATGGTGTAGCACCTACTGCGTGGCAAGCACAATATGAAGCACTTTACAAATATCTCATTTGATTCTCACAACAGCCCTAGGAGGCAGGTGCTATTATTGTTATTATTACTATCATTTTACATATGAGAAAACTAAGGCAAGGAGGGGTTAAGTGGCTTGTCCAGGGTCACACAGCTGGTAAGTATTTGAGTTCAAATCTGAAGGCATGTCTTCCCAACTCCAGATCAATGCTCTATATACTAGAACATCACCTAACTGCCTCTGCGGATCCTCTATGGAGGATCTGTGGAAGAATGAGAAAAAAGATCACACAGAAAAAGAAGGCTTATTATAAGATAGATTCCAGACTACACCGATAGAAGGGATACTTGAATTAGGTGAGATCCCTGAACCTTCAAAATATTCACTCACTGAACAGCTCATAGTTGCTTTCTTTCACCACTAGATGACAGTCACTTATTGGTAAGGCATGACGCCGAATGAGTCTGAATAGAGAAACCAAAAGCTGATGGAGGATAGATGAAAATAGTGAATGAAAAAAAGTAGCAAAAAGTTACATACAGATTTTAGGGAGTTGGATGAATTCATAAATGAAATATAAGGCAAAAAACAAAGAGAGAGCGTGTCATTTCCTTGTATTCTTTCTTGGTATCCACAGGAGGCTTTGAGAGACAGGAATCTAATCAGACAAATCTGAGGGCAGCTGTCAACAATGAATACCAACCCCAGAACTCTGTCTCTTGATGCATGCCTCTTGTCCTTGTCAAAAGGACAAAAGGAAATACACATAAACGGGCTACCAGGGAGCAAGGGGAAATAGGAACACTTCGTAAAAAGAAATTTTTTAAAGAAAATTTTTTTAATTAACTATGATGAAATTATAGAAATTATACACAGGATGGTTATTGATAATTCAATTTTCAATTCTGTAAACATTTATTAACCTCCTACTGCATGACTGTTAGTGTGTACAGTATTCTCCTAGTTCTGCTCATTTCACTCTGTATCAGTTCATGTAAGTCCTTCCAGGTTTTTCTGAAGTCTGCCTGTTCATCATTTCTTATAGCACAGTAGTATTCCATTACATTCATACACCACAACTTATTCAGCCATTCCCCAACTGATGGGCATCCCCTCAATTTCCAATTCTTGGCCACCACAGAAAGATCTACTATAAATATCTTTGTACATGTGGGTCTTTTTCCCATTTGTATGATCTCTTTGGGATACAGCCCTAGAAGTGGTATTGCTGGGTCAAAAGGTATGCACATTTTTATAGCCCTTTGGGCATAGTTACAAATTGCTCTCCAGAATGGTTGGATCATTTCACAACCCCACCAACAATGCATTAGTGTTCCAATTTTCCCACATCTCTAGCATTTATAATTTTCCTGGTTTGTCATGTTGGCCAATCTGATAGGTGTGATGTGGTACCTTAGAGTTGTTTTGATTTGCATTTCTCCAATCAATAGTTATTTGATCATTATCTTCTAATGAGATTCATGTTTCTTTTCCATTATTAGATTTATATGGACTCAGAAAAGCCGAGCATCTTTTCTGGCTTTCTGAATGCAGGTGGAAAGAGTGCCAGTTCATCAGCCATCACTTACAACCATTTTCTCTTTTATGTCAATCTCTTTTAATAAATCACAATGGGATGACTTTAGGAGCTATAAAGGTACATATTTAATAATACAAAAACCTTACACTTCTCCAAAATCACAACAGGAACAAAAAGAAGGAGAAAAAGAAGGTAAGAAATTATCTTTCTCAAATTAAATAAATCTAATGCATAAATTAATAGGCTCAAGCTATAAACTGAAGCTAGTTGACATCTCAAATCATAGAAAAAAGAAAAGGATAACTTTGGCCACTTATAATGAACCAACTGATATGAGCAATCCACTCAACTGCCTCGTGCCTCAGTTTCCTCATCCATAAAATGAGTTTGTACTAGCTGGCCTCTGAAGTCCCCGCCAGTTCTAAATCTGTGATCCTATGATCATATTTACACCTCACTTTATGTAAAATTTTATGTAAAAGATCCGTTAATCTATTGTGGATCATTAATCATTAATCTGCTGACCAGAGGTCTGCAAACTTTTTCTGTCAATGTTATAGTAAGACTACTTGTTATACAGTTAAATGGATTTTGAAATATGGAAATTTCTTTGCAATCGTATCAAGATTCTGCTGGAAATGTAGTTTCAGCTTGGAAAATATGTCATCTGCAAATTTATGTGGGAATGGACATCTTGCTTCTCATTTGAACTTTTGACACATTTGGAAGTGTATAAAGCCGCTTGTCATTCAAACAATAGTCATCATCAATTGACATCACTACAGTATAAGTTTTCCATATATAGGTGCTGTTTTCCCTTGATTTTAGATGAAATTAAAAATTATTACCAAGTCTATACCATAAATTAATTTTCAAAGCTATGTAGTGTTCAGTAATAGTAGTTGAGGGTGGTTCTTCTCATTAAGAAAAATTTCAATCCCATCCTTGTGCTGAAAAAAATCATAATAACCTCTCCCCTTCTTTTCTTGTTTTGACATGGTGGGTATGCACTTGTAATAAAAATAAACAAATAATAAAATGTTGCTGTATGGAAATACATATGGCACTCAAAACACTGTTGAATTATAACTGTCATTGTAATTTGTAGTGTTGCCCAACTGTGCTATTTTAGATGAAAGCAGCTACAAACAATATGTAAATAAATGAGTGTGGCTGTGTTCTAATAAAACTTTATTTTAAAACGTAAAACCCATTTTTAGCTCATGGGGCTATATAAAAACAGAAAGCAGGCAAATTTGGCCCATGGACCATAGTTTGCCAATCCCTAGCTTAGCAGAAAGAACACATTCCATTGGAAAAGAGTTCTATAATACTTCAATTGAAGAGAGTACCATTCCACCCAGTCAAATAAGGGGCTGAAGATGGTGAAGGTCTACAGCCACCTATTAAAGAATGATGACAGAGAGTCCTGCAGATCAACTAGAGGCAGATTAACAACTGTTATATAACTCATAGTCCTAGAAATTTGCCTGGGGCCCTTAGAGGTCACCTAGACAGTTTGTCATAGTTGGGTCTTGAATCCAGGTCTTCCTGGATCCAAGGTCTTTTCTATTCAGCATGCCAGTTGCTTCCCATTGACCTTATGGCATTATACAAATGAGTTTTTACAATTATTATAAGAAATTCCCCAACTTCCTTGCATAATAATGACTTTTTTTTTTCTGAGAGACTTCCCCCATCCCAAGGTTTGTAGAAACAGTGTATCAACTGATTATAACACCTGGGAGCCATAGTTTTCCATATCAGCAGGAAGTAGGCAAAGCATATCAATCATTTCCCCAAGCTCTCAAGCAAGGAATAGTTTATAGAGAACAGGAATAAGGAGTGAATACAGAAGAAATAGAAGGAGAAGCTAAAGCTTAATTTTAATGTTACTAAATTTTAAAATTGTATGACTCAAAATTTTTTTAAAAGAACTTACTCTTACAATGTCTTATTTTAATGACTTAAATGATTGGGTTTTCATCTCAATTTTCTCTTCTAAATCTTAATCCAGAAAATGATTTGGAAGAACCAGAGTCTTGCGAAATAATCTTCCCCTGGGAGAAGCTCACTTCATTTCAAAAACTTATAATGGTAAGATGTGTGATAGGAAATATAAAAATCTTTAATCTTTTGGGCACTAGATTACCAACTTTGAATTCTTCAAAACTAACATTTTTGCAAGGCAAACATGAGAACACAGATCTTGGCAGTACCAGAAGTCCTCTTCTTCTTATAAAATCCAAGGGCTTTTTTTTTTTTTTTACTATAGTCACTGGCACTTTTAAGTTGAATAGGAAAGGGGGGGGGAAATGGATTCCCTTCTCTCAATCATCTCATCTGGCTCCCTTCCTTCCTGAGTGTTAGGAAAGTAGATAATTCTTGTACATATTATCCATACAATTCTGTAATCTTTTCCTGGCAGGAAAGAGATATGCATTCATCTCTGAGAGTAGGAGACAATTCCCCATGCTCAATCCCCTGCCTCATGACAGCCTAGGGAACATTTCCTAAGCCTTTCACATCTCAGAAATCATGCTCTTCAAACCAAATGCTTTTTCAAACCATTTAACACTTTGAATATCACCTTCCATTCAAGAACTGAAGATACTCTTAGTTTAGCAACTAAAAAAAGACTTTAATTTTCATAGAACTCTTCTGAGGTAAGTTAGAAATATGTTCTAAATATAAGACTTGAGGTAAAGAAAAAAGAATTTAAATGCCTTCCCCTCAGCTATCTCTAATCAGAACCTCTCCTGAAGTGACCACTCTGACATATGAGGAAGAAAAAGGGTCACTAAGGAGACGTAAGACAGGCAGTGGGGCAGCTAGGTGGTGGAGTGGATGGAGTGCTGGACCTGGAAGTCAGAAAGACTCATCTTCCTGAGCTCAAATCCTGCCTCAGATACTTACCAGCTATGTGATCTTGGGCGAGTCACTTCACCCTGTTTGTCTCAGTTTCCTCATCTGTAAAATGAAATGGAGAAAGAAATGGCAAACACTCCAGTATCTTTGTCAAGACAATCCCTAACGGGGTCGTTGAGAGTCGGGCATGAGTCAACAAACAAAAACAAGAAAAAGGCAGCATTTTGTAGGGAATGAAGAGCTGAATCCAGAGTTCTTAAGACCTAACTTCAGGACCGCTTCTGACAAATACCTCCTTGGAAAATCACTTAACCTCTCAGGGCCTTGAGTCACTAACCATCTAAGGTTATAAATTGCAGAGAAGGCATATGCTGCTCTGGTGAAGGGAGTTTCCTATACCAATAAAATCATAGATCCAGTATCTCTCCATATCCTAACGAGAAGAAAAGATGAGAAGAAAGGAAAAGAGGTAATTAGAGGTACCTACCCCAAGGAGGTTGATGTTTGCTAAGAAGCCAAAGAGAATTAAATTCTGCCAAAGAACATCATTTCCCCAAATTCTCCCACCCACTAAAGCACTGGTTAAAATAGAAATGAAAGCAAGACCCCTGGATGATGAAAAAAAATACTCATAGTGGAAGAGGCAACTATGTGAATTAAAATACGAAAAGGGACCAGTTTTTTCTGATAGTAAGAAATCATTTTAATGTTTCTACGACCTCCTTATAGTATGTTGAGCTTTCCTACGTGTTATGGTGGTAGATAATGCATGTAGTTATTACACATATGATTCTATGATTTTTTTCCTAGTTAAGGAAAAGATGTGCAATGCTGTACATTGGCCAGTAGGTGAAGCTATGTTAATGGCTAAGCCCAGGCCAGCAGTTCATCAGAAATGGTAGGTTCCACCATGCTGGAAAGCCTTCCAGTGTGGTCCCTACAACAGGCTAGAGTTACCACCACCACCACTAGTCAGTGTCAGGGACATGATTTAGAGTTTACCGCTGGGTCCTTCCAGCTTGGTTAGAGACTGTCACAGCTTCCACTCCACTGACATAGTCTTTGAAACCCCACAGTCACCACATCACAAGAAGGCATCAGAATGGGACAGCAGTGGAAAACTATTTTTCTCATACTGTGAAACTTGTATATTTTATCTTTATAAGCTAGTATTACTGTCTAAAACCTACTTTTTTTAGAGTTTAGGGTTGAGCTGGGCCTTAGTCCACTAGGGCGGACTTGAGTTCAAACTTAGCCTCAGACATTTACTTGCTGTGTGACCTCCAACAAGTCACTGAACTTTTATTTGCTTCAGTTTCCTCAACTTTGAAATGGGCATAATAATAGCACCCGCCTCCCAGGGTTGTTGTATGGATCAAATGATGTAATATTTGTAAAGCAGAATGCCTAGCATACAGTACATTACTGTTGTTGTCATGTTTTTGTTATTATTATTGCTGAAACACATACTGCTAGCTTCAGGAATATGGGTGTGCACAAGGAGTGAGCCAACAAAAACTCTTGCCATGTGGGATTTTTGGATCCAGGACAGGGTTCTCACCGGCAAAGGTGAAAGCTAGGGACTTAGTTCTCATAGGCTCTGTCAGGAACAACGGCAATTAGTCCCCCTAAAGTAGTCTCCACCACTCACACCAAGCTGGGTATGCCATTGGTGGAAGTATTAAGGACAAATAAGGAGAATATCAGGTTAGAAGGATAACTGAGAGGTAATGCTGAATTACTACAAGTTATTGTATTTTCATTTGAGGTGACATTTCTCTAGACGACGTTTGCATTTTATCCACTTTTTCCTATTTTATTTTTAGATAAAAATCCTTAAGCCAGAATCCTTAAATAATTCCGTGCGAAAATTTGTTACTGAAAACTTGGGAAGTAATTATCTTCATACAGCTGGAATTAATTTAAAGGAAGTATTTAGAGAATCTAATGCCAGAATTCCACTAATATTCATCCACTCTCATGGTGAGCTTTTTACAAGTATATTGATTATTAATCTTTAAGATTCTCATTCTCCCCAGTGGTGGAGGCTACAAGTGCACACCACCACACGCAGATAGAATAGAGTATTTTCAGAAAACTCCATTAGTGATGTGAGGTACAGGATTAATATTGCATTTATGAAAGGTATTGATCATCATACTTTATATTTGTGGACAAATGCACATCATAAGGAAGAAGCACAACTGGAATGACACTGGCTTACCAAATTGGAAATGTCAAAATAGAGTTCCCATTCCATTACTAAGGCGCCATATAATTTTGGGCAAATCACTTCATCTTTTGATGCCTCCATTTCCCCATATCTGCAATGAGAAGGTTGGATGTTCTCTAAAGATCCTAAAAACTGTAAATCCTATGAACCTGTGAACTCTAAGGTCCCTCCTCCTCCTCCTCTTCCTCCTAAATCCTTCTGATGTATTTGACACTATGGACCACCCCATCTCTTCCTCTTCTACATTTTCTCCTACCTTGACTCTCTGCGACATAACTTTCTTCTTGTTCTTTTTCTCTCTGTTTCTATTGATCTTCTATTTCTGTCTGTTATTCCTCCTTGCTGTCCTTTACTGGATCATTATCCTTCTCCCAGTTTTTAAGTGAGTATATTCAAGTCCTTGTCCTTAGACCTCTTCTCTCTCTAAAATCTCTATCTTAATGACTGCATCCACTTCCGTGAGTTCAATTATGACCACTATGGAGTTGACCCCTAAATCTATTTACCCAGGCCCATTGTCTCTCCTAAAATTTAATCTTCAATTACCTGTATGTCTCAGTGGCACCTCTGACTCAACATGACTGAGCTCATCATCTGCCCTAAACACATCTCTCCTTACAACTTTCCTCTTTCTGTTAATGACAACACCATCTTCCCAGTCACCAAGCCTTGAAATCTCGGAGTTGTCTTTCATTATCCTCTTTCGCCTATAGGCAGCTGGGTGGCACAGTGGCTAGAGTGCTGGGTCTGGAGTCAGGAAAACTTGAGTTCAAATCCAGCTCCAGACACTGATTTGCTGTGTGACCCTGAACAAGTCACCAAACTTCTGTCTACCTCAGTTTACTCAACTATAAAATGGCACCTACCTCCCAAGATTCTTGCGAAGATCAGATGAGATACTCGTAAAGCACTTAGCACCATGCCAAGCACCTAATAGGCACTTTATAAATGCTAGCTATTATTGTTATTATTACTATTTCTTCATATGGATTTTGCTTATACAATATGAATTATATCTACCTCTTTCCCTCTTCTCACCATTAGTCACCTAGGTTTTCATTTTCTACCTGGACCATTGTAATAGCCTCCTTCCTAGACTCCCTGCTTCTAGTCTTCCCGGTCTCCAGCCTATCCTTTCCACAGCTGCCAAAATAATCTTTTTAAGATATGGGTCTGATCATGCTGCTCCCTTGTTCAAAAATCATTTCAGTTTAAAAACATTTGTTAAGTATCTACTATGTGCAAAGCACTGGGTTAGATCCTGGGGATTCAAAGACAAAACAAACAAATAAACAATCCATTCCCTGTCCTCAAGGAACTACATTTTCCTGGGGAGAAACATGTGCATCAGAAATTTCAGTGGTTCCTGATTTTCTCTAGAATGAAATACAAACTCTTTAGCCTGACATTTAAGGACCCTCTATGGTCTGGCTCCAAAATGCACTTCCAACTATTCTCCAATCTCAGCATACCATATTTGGCCTCTGTTTTTATGCAAGCTGTCACCTATTCCTGGAATACCTCCACTCAGGTTGCACTTCTTTCATGAAGCCTTCCCCAAGCCCCCAAACTGAAAAGGTTCTCTCCCTCCTCAGATTTTCCTACAGCACTTTAACCACTCTCACCCACCCTGTCTATCACCCCCTCTCCTCCCCTACTCTAAGCTCCTTAAGGTCAGGAGATAGATAGATAGATAGATAGATAGATAGATAGATAGATAGATAGATAGATAGATGGACAGACAGATAGATATGGATGTAGATATAGGTATATTAATCTTTTATCCTAAGTATCTAGCACTAGTATATAGAGATATGCACCCATGATTTCATTAACATAGGGAACTCCCAGATGAGAAAACTCCATCTACCAATAGAAGTGAGCACCCAAGAAGTGAAATAACTTGTTCAGGAGCACATATCTGGTATATTTCAAGGACAGCTTCTTAATAAATATATGTTGAGTTGGATTACTAGCTTCATCTCTGTTTCTTTACTGGCTTATCTTTCCCTATACTCTATTGCCTTCTGGACTTCATCCTTCAACTAAAGTTCGACTTGCCAAAAACCTTTCCCCTACTAATTTCTCTATTTCTCTTCATGGAAACCCACAATCACCCATGCTAGAAGCCTTAAAATCATCTTTACTCTTCCTTCAGTCTCCATTTCCAATGAGGTGCCAGATCTTTTCATTCTTCCTTCACATCTCTTACATCTATCCACTCCTTTCTTTTCCCATTACTGCTACCATCAGTAAGCCTTCTTTACATCTCAGCTGGGCTATTATATCCATTCACTAACAAGGTACAAAATGACATAAATGTCAATTACTATGATTATTTTTCATCTTTTGTATTTTTCATCATTGTAGAAACAAAAAAAATCCTAATTCAGAAAAAAAAAATTAGAAACAAATGAAAGAAAATATAAATATAATTATCATAACTTTAAATATGAATAGAGTAAACAATCTAGTGGGAGAGCTAGGTGGTGCAGTGGATAGAGCACTGGGCCTGGAGTCAAGATAGACCCAAGTTCAAATGTGGTCTCAGACACTTACAAACTGTATGACCCTGAACAAGTCACTTAACCCCTATTTGCCTCAGTTCTACATCTGTAAAATAGGGCTCACTGGAGAAATAAATGGTAAACCACTCCAGTATCTTGGCCAAGAAAACCCCATGAACAAAGTCATGTAGAGTCAGACACAACTGAACAGCTGAACTACTACAAAACAGTCCAATATAATGAAAGAGTGACAGATTGGATAAGAAAACAAAAATCCCATGATCTGTTGCTTGAAAGATACATACCTATAAAGCAAAGCCACACACAGCATAAAAATGAGGGGCTGAAATTAAATTTGCTATGGATCACATAAATAGAAAAAAAATCCATGCTATCAGACCAAAAACAAAACACAGCATAAAAAAAGATAAAGGAACTCTATTATGTTAATAGGAACCATAGGCAAATAGGCCAATATCAATATTAAACTAATTTGCTCCATCTGTATCTAAATTCATAATAAAAAAAGAAAAAATCAACTGACTTAAAAAGAAGACATAGTAATACAATAATGGTAGGAGACTTTAATGTCCCTCTATCAGTTATACATAAATCTAACAGAAAGATAAACAAAAGAGAAAATGTAGAATTGACCAAATTGCTAAATTGTGACATAATATCTTCTAGACAGGCCTGCTAAAGAATATGTGCATTTTTCAGCACCACATGAAACTTTGATAACAGCTGACCATATATTAGGATGCAGAGATATTGCAATTAAAAGTTAAAAAACCAAAACTATTCATCGCATCCTTTACAAATCATAACACAATAAAATAGAAATCAGTTCACAGAGCACAAACAAAAGACCTACACTCAAATGAAGATTTAACAATGAAATCCTAAATGATGAGTGGGTCAAATAAAAAGACATAGAAATAAATGATAATTATGTGGACAAAAAAATGATAATGATGAAACAACCCATCAAAATTTCTAGGATGTAGCTAAAGCAATTCTTGAGGGGAATTATAGCTCCAATACATATATATTAACAAAATAGAAAAGGAGAAGATTAATGAATAAAATATGTATTTTTTTAAATTAGAAAACCAACAAATAAACAAATCTAAAATAAGCAAAAATGAGGAAATAAAAATTGGAGGACAAATAGAAAACCTGGAAACCAAAAAGACTAAAGAAATGATAAACAAAACTAAATGTGTCTTTGTATGCCCAGTACTCAGCACAATACCTTATATGAACAATGTAAGCACTTAATAAACGTCTCTCATTTAATTTAATTTAATGGAGTTATACTAAACATTGTCATACAGGATTAGATCCAACAACTCTCCTGCTGAGATTTGCACAGGAGATGAAAGGAAATACAGATGATGTGACCATGATTTCTTTGGGATGTGGCCAAGGAATTAAAGCTGAAGAAATAATATACAAGGCAAAAGTAAAGAAGGGCCAGTGGGTCTTCCTCCAGAACTGCCATCTTGCTGCATCTTGTATGCCAAGACTTTGTGCGATTGTTGAGACGTGAGTTCTTTAAATTTGTTTATCCAGTTCAAAGCATCAGATTAAATCATTGGTTTTAAAAAAAAAAAAAGTAAAAGGTAAATCCTATGCAATGAATATAAATCTATACCATGGTATTAAAGATCAAAGCCGATTAGAGATTCTAAGAGAAAAAAAGGTAAAGATATGTTGCAACGGGATGACTAGTACGTCCTTGAATAATGAGAAATGGCTGCTGTGAGAGTGATATACCCTGCAGAGCTAGGTTCAAACAATGCGATAAGGTTTTCTCCCAATTCCCACAACTGAATAAAGTTTCCTCACAAGACAGAAATTGGACTAGACCCATAATTGAACAGAAAAGGAACTGAGCTACTTCCAGAATTGAGTCACAAGATGGAATCAGTGTTCACCCAATTCCCACAATTGACCACTTCCTGTTCTAATCCCCTCAATTCCCCCACCAAGGAGAATTCCCAGAAATTCACTCTCTGTTTCCTACACTAGTTTAACTGAAATTTAGTTGACTGGATTCGTCTTTAGCTGAAGAACAATCAGTGTTTGGGATTAATAATATATTGTTTGACAGATTTACATTTGTAAAAAAATATAGGACCGCTTAATCCTAATTCAACTTTCCTGGAAATTAAGAACCTCAACCATTATAGTCAAACCATAACACCCTAATATTCTTCATCTCTTCCACATTTCCACCACCCTTCTGCACATACCCCCTGCCCCCAACACACACACACACACACACACACACACACACACACACGCACGCACGCACGCGCGCGCGCGCGCGCGGTGTAGTGCCTTTATCTATTCAGAGGCAGTGTTGATTACACAGGGAGGAGTTTAATTACCTAAATTCAATATCAGATATAGCCACCAGGCAGCACTCGGCCTTGTCAGTTATTCTAACCAGTGCCTGAATTGTAATTCTTTCCTAAAAGGTTGCAGTCTCCTTACCCCCTACAAGAGAGTACTGCAATGCTCAGACTCCCCTTCCTGAAGATTTTAGGTTATCAATTATAGGAAATGCACTAGGGAAGAATAATACAAAGAAAAAGAAACTCCAATCCTCTCCTCAAAATTAGGGAAGACATAGAATATATGCAAGTAACTGTTAGCCAAATAAGAAAGACCTTTGATGTTAAAATGACTCCTCAGGTGCTATGAAACTTTTCCTTTCATTTTGTTTTTCATGTTAATAATTTTACAAATGAATTATGTTGCAGATTTAATTATTCAAAACTAGACCCCGACTTTAGACTATGGTTAAGCTCAAAACCGGACAGTTCCTTCCCCATAGCAGTTCTGCAGAAGAGTTTGAAGGTAAGAATGATGGGTTGTTGGAGGTGGGGTCAGAGGGGAATTCAGATTATGGAGCATTGTGAAAATGCCCCTCACCATCCCTCAATGCAGACCAAAAAAATAGATTGTAACTTGTAACAACCTTAGAAAGTTGCCAGAGGCACTAAAAAGTGACTTGGGGGGCGCGGGGGTACAGATGGTGAATTTCTGTCAGAGACAGGATGTTAACTCAGCCCTCTATGGAGATTCCAAGGCCACACCTCTATCCATTATGTTAGGATGTGTCTCAGCTATTAAAAACAACAAATTTAAATATTGACAGAACAGCCCAGTATGAATGCTAAAGATTTTAAAATCTTAACTCTGAGGCAAGATGGAGGGAGGGTTTGGTGCTGTCAGTCATTCAACAAGTAATGGGGGGAAGTGGAGTGGGGTCTTTGATTCTACTGGGAGCTATGGGAGGTTAAAAAAAAAAAAGACACAAGAAAAATTTGTTCCCTCACCCCAAAGCATTTACAATTTAAATTTCTTATATTTCACGTAACTACGGCACATTCTGAATTAATAGGAACTGAATATTCCATTTGGGAAGGATTTATGCCCTTGCTTTTGCTGCTTGCTTTGGTATTTATATAATTAATTAATTAACTCATTCATGAGAAAGTGATTGGGGAAATTTTCTTTTTGTTTTTCATGTTAAAACTTGGAGCCTTCAGAACACAGAATTCTGTGCAGAGGTGTGGGAAATTAAAATGTAGATAAAAAGGGTCCAAGTCAGGGATGTGCTAGTGTTTGATAGGGAAGAAATATACATAGGACCCACTTTTAAATTTAATCTGAATTATTGACATTTTCTCCACACTTTTTAGAGTCTGGACAAATAATAAATAAAGCAATAAATCAAGCCCTGATTTATAGGGTTTGCTGATTGACCAGTTGCAAAATGGTCACCCTGAAAATTTAACAAGACTCTCGGAAGCTAGTTCAAGCTGGCTCCAGCAAAGCCCTGGCCCTAGCCTCATGTAGCTAACAATCTAATGGGGGAAATGAGGTGAAATAGCTTTTATTACTTGTTAACAGTGCTTATGAAATATCTATCAAAGACAAAGTTTAAAGTGTTAAATAAAAATCATAATTTAGAATTATCAGTGAGTTTCATTTATCCTTTTTCATACCTGGCCCACATTACCATGATGTTCATTCGCCTTGGCTAGGTCTAGACAGTGCTAAAAGATTCAGTTGGTGTAGCCAAATAATCCAGTCAAACAAAGAACTGGTCTTTTTAGTGAAAGAATCCACCAAACTAACTGATTAAAACTGACCAATGACATAGCTGATTATAGTTAAAGGAAATGGACATTTAATGTTTGCTTTAAACTTTGACAAAAATGGAGAAAGCATGGAGGAAATTGCATTGGGAGGGAATGGTTGAGGTCCCTGAGCAGACCCAGGAGGCTTTAATTTTAATTCCACCTTCCTGGAAAATGAGGACCTCTCCCACTAGTCAAACCATACCACCCCAAGGAAATTAGGGTACCTAACAACAACACCAAGCCCAACTGTCTGTCATCTCTCCCAGTCCCTCCTTCTTCTGACGTCCCCAAGCCTAAGTCCCTCTCCAAGAGCCTCTTCCTGAGGAGACAAGATCTGGATCCTGGCATATCATTTCTTGAAGTCAGAACAACTATTTTCTCCCCCCTCTTAGCAACTCTGCCCATCTTGTAGGCAATGAGAAGTGAGTAATCATTCTTTCTACCAATGAAGATAGTCTTATGCCAGTACCCAGGATATGTGTGTGTAGGATGTGTGCAATACATACATATATGATATATATAAATGTTTTATGTATGTATATACATATATGTATAAACCAAACTTTTTATCTGCTACTAAGTCATGTAAATTATATTCAAAACATCTGCATTAAGTTATAGTATGCCTGCAACTGTGCCAGATGCTAAGGATATAGAGATAAAAAATCATATAGTACCTGCCCTCTAGAACCTGTGAGGAAATTGGCTGATCACTTCTTAAGATCTCTACCTTTGTTATGCCAAAAAAGAAAAAAAGTAAATAAACTTTAGATCTAGTCATGAAGAATGCTATTTTCATCTACTGCTTTTATTTCTTCTTCTTCAAAGATGACAGTAGAATCCCCCCAGGGTTTGAAGGCAAATCTTCTTCAGTCATTTGGGTACCATTGCAGTGGAGAGATAACAGAAGAAATCTATGAGAACACTGAATGTGGACCATCATGGAAAAAACTTTTATTCAGCATCTCTTTCTTCAATGCTGTAGTCAATGAAAGAAAAAAGTATGGAACATTAGGCTGGAATATTCCTTATGAATTTAGTTCTTCAGACTTGGAGGTGAGTATAGTTTGGGAATTTTTTTGAAGACAAGATCCTAAGCACCATGCAGTAGTGAACACAAAAACCAGGAAATGCCTTATTTTCCTAAAACATTTCCCTTCCTAAGAATTTTCACTGAATATGACATTAACAAGTAAATGCTATGTATATCAAAAGTTTTACTGCAGTTTTAAGCTTTAGTCAGTGAGTCAATAAACATGTATCATGTGCCTACTATGTGCAAAGCATTGGGTTAAATGCTGGAGATACAAAAAGAGGCAAAAGACAATCCCTGCCCTCACTTAAACTCTCTGAGACAGTTTCCTCATCTGTACAATGAGGTCAATGGTACTTGTATCAACTGTCTCTCAGGGATGTTGTGAGACAAGTGCTCAGTTCATCAAGTGCTATATAAATGGAACTTGTTATCATTTGTGAATTTTCTGGGACAAAATGTTGTCCTGTCCTAGCCAGATTCACCTTAATGTTCAGAACGGTCCTCAGAAATGTCCCTCATGTCCCACTGTGCCACTACCTTCCTTGTCTTGTTAATGTATGTGTACATAATGATAGCTACTTCAATAGGAAGAAAGCAAAGAAACAAGCCTTTAGTAAACACCTGCAGTATGCCAGGGGCAGCTAGGTAGTACAATGGATACAGTGCTGGGCCTGGAGTCAGAAAGACCTGAGTTCAAATCAATCACTTAACCCTGTTTGCCTTGGTTTCCTCGGAGTCAGGAAGGCCTGAGTTTAAATTAGAACTCAAACACTTATTAGCTAAGCAACTCCTAGGCAAGTCACTTAACTAGTGATTGCCTCAGTTTTCCCAACTCTAAAATGGGGATAATAATGCACATCTCTCCCAGGGTTGTTGTTGAGGATAAATGAGATAATAAAGTGTTTAGCATAATGTCTAGCATACAATTGTTGTTGTTGAGTCATTTAAGTTGTGGCTTACTCTTGGTGACCCCATTTGGGGTTTTCTTGGCAAAGATAATGGAGAGATTTGCCATTTCCTTCTCTAGCTCACTTTACAGATGAGGAAACTGAGGCAAACAGGGTTAAGTGACTGATTTGAACTCAGGCCTTCCTGACTCCAGGCCTAGCACTCTCTCCCCTGCATCACTTAGGTGCCTAGTACCTTGAGCAAACTATTATTTATAAGCTCAATCTGAGGAGAAAAAAAGAATACCTTCAGGACTTAATTTAAATGTTTTGAGGTCATTTAAAACACTAGTTCCCTCCACTAACATGAGTTCTGTGAGTTGGCTCGAGTTATGCTGCTGATGCTGTAGTTTGGGGGTTTGGTTTGGTTTGGCAGCAGTGGGAGGGGGTCTGGGGTCGGTGGGCACATCCAGACCTAGGATTTCATTGAAAATGAAATGGAGAGCTCCAGAGACACACAGCAACAATTCGCTTGTGAAATTGTAGTCTTAGAGAGCTGGACAAGGCACTGTGAGACCTGCCTATGATCATATAGCCAGTTTACATCAAGGCAGAAACTGAACCCAAGTCTTCCACAACTAGCTCTCTATGTGTATGTGTGTCTCTGTCTCTGTCTCTCTTTCAGTCTCTCTCCTCTCTTATCTTTCTGTCTCTTGCTCTCTGTCTCTCTCTTAATCTCTCTGCTTCTCTCTCAATCCCCCCCTTTCACAACCTCACACTCCTCAAATCTTTTCTCTCCTCTATTTCTCTCTCCCTCTCTGTCTCTCTCTCCCTCTTTGTCTCTCACCACAGGAGTTACTTTATTAAATTCATCTTTTCCTTTAAACCACATAACTGTTCTTGTATGTATTTCCTTTCTTCCTATTGGGTTTGGTTTGCTTTGCTTTATAAAAAAAAAAAGAAGAAGCAGAATTCTTGTCCAGACAACCTATTTGTGATTCGCTAATGTACCTTATACCTGTGAGCCACGAGCTTCCCATTCAATTGTTTAAATATTCCCTTCTAAAAATTTTTTTTAAATATTCCCTTCTTTGCCAAGGGACTCTTTGTCAGTGTCTCAAAGGCAGTGGTGATCAATTTTTTAAATGACTGGCCTCATATTAACACAGCACTATTCCCAGAGCTCTAGAGAACTGTCAAAGGCATAAGATCATAGATTCAGAGATCTTAGAGGCTATCTTTCTTCCAGCACCCTCACCTATATCAGGTGAGCAGACTGTGACCCAAACTGGTGGAATGAACCATCTGAGGCTGAATTGGTCATGACAGAGGCAGATCTGAAGCCAGGCTTTCTAACTCCAAAATCAGTGCTCTTTCCATTCTCCAGTGTTGGAACAGTCACCCAAGGCAAGATCATACAGTCTTTAATGCATCAAGGATGCAGGGACTATTGCCCCAGAGATCAAAAGCTGCTCTCTTATTGCCTGCCCTATAAAGCTCTCTGAGAACTTTGGGTTCTCCCTCAAAAAGACATCCAAATAAAGTCAAGTTAAAATAAAAACCATTGCTTAATCTAACTCCTTTTTTCAAAGGTCACCATCAAAATGTTAGCAATTCTCCTGGCCGAAAAGTCAGAAATTCCTTGGGAAGCAATACATTACTTGACAGGAGAAATAATTTATGGAGGCCGAGTGACGGATGGCTGGGATAGGCTTTGCGTACTATCTCTCCTAAAGAATTTTTGTAATCCTGACGTGTTGAAGAAGGACTTCAGTTTTACTGATGATGGGGTAAGAAATGTATTTTTTTCTAATAGTCCTAATTTTTAAAAATATTTTAACTGAACTTTGTTATATGGCTTTTATCATCAAAAAGCATTTTTAAATATCTCATTGGAAATTGTGTCAGACTTTGGACAAAAAGGACTTGTGCTTTAAGACACAAATCAGAGGCAGATACTAGCTAAGTACTTTCCTATTCACCCTGGACATTAGAATGCTCCAGCCTTCCTCACCCTCAGTTTCTTTTCCATCTCCTCCATCTTCTTTCTTCCCTCTAAGCCCACTTTGCCTTCCTCAAGATGAGGTGAAGGGGATGGATAAGTTGGTAAGTGTCCAATGATACCTGGCTGCTGAACTAGAGGAAAAGCTTACCTCTAAACTTGAAATATTGCCCATTCATTTTCAATTGATTCAATCAATCAGCAAGTATTTATTAGGCACCTACCACATTCCAGGCCCTAGGGACACAAATACAGTGAATTCTGCTATAACGCATGTTTTGAAAATGTGGATTTATTCCAAAGTGATTGATACATTAGGGAACTTTTTGATCATAATACAAATTTTGCATTTGTTTACATGCCATTTCATCTGCAAGAACTATCAAGTCCAAAACCTACAGGATTTCACAATAACTCACAAGCTTCAAGCCTTCTGGATGCTCATTTCCACAATCAAACTTCAGACCTCTTTCAAGGTTAAGTGTCACATTTATTGTATACTTTCTGATAGAACAGAATCTATCAGTGAAGGAAAGCTAGTCCACATTCACACACTCCATCTCCCAAACCCCACCATCTACCATAGCTTCCTGAAGTTGGCAGGAGAAACCCCTTCCCCCCCCACACACACACACATAAGCTTCCTTTAGCCCATAGCCATTGATTTTACCAGCCTGGCCTGTGGGACCCACAGCAGCTCAGGTTCGTGGATACCATTATTATTTATTGTAGTATTTATGTATTCATGTATGTATTCATGTATGTAAATATATGTATTTAACATATATAAAATTGTGCTGCCATTTTTATTAAGTTCTTATCTTTTTTGTATGTCACTGAAAAGATTTTTGAGTGTTGTACCCCAACACCATTTTTCCCATAAGCCCTAAGGTTTTTATTACTCAGTTTTGCATAGAACAATGATTTTTAGGAACACATATGGCATGTTATAACAGAAATAACTGTACAACGAATGAAGCAATCTTTACTCCAAAAGAGTTCATATTCTACTTATTTACCACCTATTACATACAAGGCCTGGTCCTTACCCTCAAGAAGCTAGAATATTATTTCTAGTATTACAGTAGTATAGTAAGAGAGCCCCTTGCCTGCCTTGTAGTATTTATTTTAAAAGAGACATTCATTTTAAATACATGGTCAAAAACTTTGTTGGGGAATCATAGAAACAATGAAAAGGTTTTCCAAGACAAAAGGGAAAGTGACCCATTAGGGTTTGCAGTCTCTTATCTCTCTGCTCCATGGGCTCAGCTGTAATCTCTTTTTTTTTCTGTGTAAATAAAATCATTCCATATTTTGAAGCCTCAAAGGAGAGCTGCCTTTGTGGGAGTGTCAGATACTGAAGTTCCCAAGTTTGCCCTGGGGACCTTAGATGGGAAAAAAATTACGTCTTCCATATAATTGATATCCTTTTTATTTTAGGCATTTAAAAACATTATTTCGAGAAGGGGTCCATGGACTTCCCCAGATGGCCAAAGGCCAGCACAAAAAAGGTTAAAAAAAAACCCTACTGTACATGCTGGCATCACGGCAAGTCATCTTAGGGGTCTGTGGAGTAAGGCTTCAAAGACAGTATCATGATTTCACGGGTAGGTAAGTCCCTGCTCCTGCTCAAGACAAGCTTCTTGTCTGAGAGTCAGCTACATGGGGAAACAATACTATTTTATTAAGAATGGTTCCCCTTGAGCCTTCTAGGATAAGAGAACATATTAAAGATCTTACTGCAATCTTCGGATTCTAACCTTCATTACCATTTTCATTGGCTTTTTCAGATTCTCCTTTCAAGGTTTTATGCATTCTCTGTCTCACTTATTAACATCATTCTTTCATCCATTCGTTCATTCATTCAATCCAGATTTATTGAGCTCCTATAAGCAGAGCACCTTGCAAAGATGAGGAAGGATGAGTGAGTGCCTGGTATGTGGTTGTATGCTGCTGATTCCAAGGACCTGGGTTTGAATCCTGGCCCTGTCATTTACTCCCTGTGTGACCCTGGCCAAGTCACTTAACTGTTCCTGAGGCTGTTTTACAGGCCATTACTATAAAATGAGGGAGCTGGGCTAGATGACTTCTCAAGTTCCTATCCGTTCGAAAGCTAAGATGCTCTGTATTTTACTGCCAGATGCACCAATTTGGGGAAGGGAGGAAGGGTAAGTAAGCCCCTGAGGCAGGCAGAGTACCAAAGTACAGGTGCTTCTGCTCAAAATGCCCCCAATCTCCCTTTCTTGTTCTGTCAAGAAGAAATTCACTGAGGGTAGTTCAAAATCTCTCTTTCAGGTTGGATATGCCTGCCTCCTTCAGGATGCTCATATTTCAGTTCTAAAGATAATTGAGAGTCTGTGGTGAATTAAGCTGACCTTCCTATTGCCTAGTTGAAAATTGTGAAATTACTCTCACATTTTAAAAAGTTAATAAGTAGATTGTGTAGCCTAAGGTGAGGAAATTGTACGTTGGGAAATAAGATTTCTAGAGCTTGTGTCACCCTTATTTCAGTGTTTCCTCCCTGAAAGCTTGGTCTCGAGAAGTCTCTGTTATTCAGAGATTAGCTAGCCGCACAGTAACAGTAGATGATGCTCTTCTGGATGGAACAGCCACGTAACCAAAACTAGCGAAAAGTGCTGAAAGTATTTGTGATTACAAATGTAATTTGGAAAAAGCAATTCAGTTCAGCGTTTGAAAGACAGCTACGTGCTAATTCAGTGCCAGAAACCAGAGTATACACTAACGATGGGCAAATAATAATGATAGGTGACATTTACATGGCTCTTTAAGGCTAGTAGAGCACTGTGCACCCATCATTTCATTTAATCTTCATATCAAAGGCATACAGGGAAGATTCTACCAGGATTTATTGTCCTCATTTTACAGATAAATTTGGAGAACATAAATGACATACCCATGATCACAGAGCTCATCAGTGTCAGAGGTGATATTTCAACCTAGGTCTTTCTTGGCTCCATGCTACCATGATCCCTACCCTTAAGTCTCTGTAGACAGTAGATAAATTGTTAATAAATTAATACATTTAATTGTTAATAAATTATTTAGCAAATTGTTTTTAGTCCAGACCTGTGATTTCATCAGTAAACTTTCTAATAAATGTTTGTTGAATTGAATTAAGGATCTCAAAATCTCATTGGAAAAACAAGAGATACAAACATAAAACAATAATGATAATAGTGATAGTAAAAATAGCTATCATTTAGCACCATGCTAAGTGTTATTTACAAATATTATTTCATGTGATCCTCACAGAACCCTGCAAGGTAGATGGTATTATTATCCCTATTTTACAGTTGAGGAAAATGAGGCAAACAGAAGTTAAATGAATTGCCCAGGGTCACACAGGGAGTACCTGAGGCCAGATTTGAACTTACGTTTTCCTAACTTCGGGCCAGCACTCTATCCACTGCACCATCTAATTGCCCAATTAAATAATGATGCAAAGCAATATGAAAACAAATCAACAAATTCAAAATTAATTCAAGAAACCTTTATTGGGGACTTTCAAGGGTATATATAATCTCTGATGCCATAGAAAAAGAACAGATTTAGAGTCAGGGATCTGGTTCTGAGTTTCTGTTCTGCCATTCCCTAGATTCATGGTGTTGGGCAAATAAGTCTCTTTCCTCCTTTGTGTCACAATTTTCTCATGTATAAAATGAGGAAACAGAATTAGATGATATCAAAGGTATCTTCTAGATCAAAATCTATAAAGAACCTTACTTAAAGACTGCTTGGGGGGGGGAAAGCTACATGAATAAATAAGTAACAGTAAGAAATTTAAAAAGTTATTTAAGACACAAAACTAATTTGGAACTGCCTGAACAGTTGGACTCAAAGAGCAATCGTTAATAAGTCAATGCCACCTTGCAAGGCCGTCAGTGGAGTATTCCAGGGATCTGCACTTGGCCTTACACTATTTGATATTTTTATCAGTGACTTGATAAAAGAGAGGAAGCATGGTGTGGTGGAGAGAGAGCTGGCTTAGAAGCCAGGAAGACCTGGGTTCAAGTGTTGCCTTACCACATACTAGCTGTGTGATTCTGGGCAAATAACTTAACCTCTCAGACTAAACACTAAGACTAAATAACAGGAAAAGTGCTGACCTGCATCTGAAATGCAGATGACTGTCCTCATCTGAAAGTTCCCCATAGCAGTGAAATCACAGGGCTAATCTCTGTCCCTATCTAATCAATGACTTAAATAAAAGCATAGATGACATGCTCATCGTATTTGCAAATGGTACAATGCTGAAAGTGATGGGTAATCCACTAGATGACGCTCTATCCACTGCGCCACCTAGCTGCTAAGAACGGTTTTTACATTTAAAAAAAAAAAAATATATATATATATATATATATATATATACATATATATATATATATATATATATATATATACACCGCACGAGGCAGGTAGGTGGCGCAGTGGATATATATATATATATATATAATATATATATATATATATATATACACACCGCATGAGGCAGGTAGGTGGCGCAGTGGATAGAGCACCTGCCCTGGAGTCAGGAGAACGTGAGTTCAAATCCAGCCTCAGACACTTGACACTTACTAGCTGTGTGACCCTGGGCAAGTCACTTAACCCCACTTGCCTCACAAAATTTTATATATACATATATATATATATATATATATATATATATATATATATATAAAATCTTCCATATGTGTATATATACACATATGTGTGTCATATATACTGCTATATATGTGTGTGTCATATGTACACATATATCTGCCATAT